AGATAGATAGATAGATAGATAGATAGATAGATAGATAGATAGATAGAATGCATATTTGTGTGTTTGTGTAATATACCAGCCGAACTCTGTACGAGCAGAGGCCATGGTTGTGTATCCCTGTGTGGAGTGTATGGCTGTGGGCGTGTTTCTATTCTATGTGCGCCCTCAGTCTTAGTTTCAGAAAATATTGTCTTAAATCGGGGCAGAAGGCCAAAGCCTCCGCTTTGCATGCAGACCTCCGCGAGCTGAGTCCCTCCACCACGCACTTTCCCCCGCCGCCCGTTTTTTCCACCCGCCCAGCCCGGCCCCTCACCAACCTCAGCAGCAGCCCTCAGCACAAAATGGCAGCGGCGGCGGCGGCGGCGGCGGCAACTAAACTTCACCTCCTCCTCCTCCAAGGTCTTGGCCCGCCTCCTCCTCCTTTTCCGTTGGGCTCCGATTGGTTCCGTCGAGTGACGCCGGGGAGTACGAATGGCCAAAGCGGAAAGTGTCTAGAAGACGGGTACCCAATCAGCTCAACGTCTTTAGCAAAGTCCCAAGGCGATTGGCTATTTTTGGTCCTCATGGTTTTTAAAGCAGTGGCCTCTTTCTTAAAGGTGACTGTGGCTTAGACCAGGTGTCTCCCAACCTGAGGAATTTTGGGAGTTGAAGTCCACAGGTCTTAAAGTTGCCAACGTTGGAGACCCCTGGCTCAGACATCCATATTGGTTGGGCAAAGGCTCATAGCCTTGTTTTATTTTTGTATCCACATTGCCCCGCCTCCCTTTTGGGGTGTAATGGGTTTGCCCTTCCACTGAATTGAGTCAGTTCAAGACATAGCAGTTGCATTGGCGAGTTGAATAGAATAGAATAGAATAGAATAGAATAGAATAGAACAGAACAGATGTTGGAAGGAATAGAATAGAAAAGAATAGAATAGGAATAGAATAGAATTCTTTATTGGCCAAGTGTGATTGGACACACAAGGAATTTGTCTTGGTGCAAATGCTCTCAGTGTACATAAAAGAAGAGATATATTCATGAAAAATCATAAGGTACAACACTTAATAATAGTCATAGGGTACAATAAGCAATCAAATCATACTAGGGAAGTCAATAATAATCGTAAGGATAC